GCCCAAAGTCAGTCACCTGGCCAATCCCAAGGATGTGGATACAGGGAGATGTGAACAAACTGGGGGCCAATCCTGCAACAATCTCCCGCACTTCTCACTTTATTCTTCTTTTGAAGGCGATAGATCTTACATGACATGACCATGGTGAAATTAGATGAGGCAACATTGGTTCTCCACGCTCCCTCCAGGATGTCCTTTCCACACCCCCAAATGCATCCAAGTGTCCCATTCTCGGGGAATCTATGCCACTGCTAATTGATGGTGTGGCAGCCTAAACTGTGTCTCCCTGGCTTTGGGAAATTCAATGTAAGTCTCTTGAAAGATGGAAAATGCTTTTCTCCCAAGGAAAGATTCTCAAAGGAAGCTTTGGTCTGAGGGTGGGTAGGCAGGTAGGTGGTCTGTCTGCTCAGAGGGGCTACTCAGACTTCTCGAAACTCCTGGCCAAGTGACCACAGTGCAGTTAGCAGACTTCCTTGGGCCCCAGTCTGGAGCAGAGGGTGTCTGCCATTGGGTTTCTAGAGCTTCCCCCTGGGCTTTAGGTCTCAGTGTGGCTGCTGTCAGAATGCCACCTGTTAACAACTTGAGTGTCTGTCTAGGCCATACCCAGGCTCCCTTAGTGAGCACCTATGGAGCAGGACCTGGGAACCTGCATTTTAACGACCTACGTTTTCCCCCCATGGGTTCAGCTGGTTCAGGACACAGAAACTTAAGGTTGCTTCTATTCTGTCTTTGCCTGTGCAGGGCATATTTTGATATGCCAATCCCAAATATACCATTTTGGTATAGTGATTATTTTGAGTTAAAGGTACTGGAGAAATAGCAGATGTGGGCTGGCCAGTTAGCTCAGTTGGTTGGAGCATGCTGCTGATACCGCCAAGGTCCAGGGTTTGACCCCTGTACTGGCCAGCACAGGATGAAATAAATAGAAAAATAGCAGATGTAAGAAGGACATGCTGACCTTCCCTCCTCTTCCTGAAAACAGAGATGAAGCTCCCCTGTGGAACAGAGGAAGAAAGACATTCTTATCACCAGAGATGGGGAATCGAGGCCAAAAAATTCCTGTACAAATAAATGAACTTTTATCTTCCTAGTCACTTCTCCACAAATAACTGCCC